TTCATACGAAGAGGAATTTTACACATATTTGACTTTGAAACTTAGTGTATGGCTCTAAAGACATCATGGGTATGTAAATTAGTAATTCACTTGCAAGTAAATAATATGACCTCATTGAATCCGTATTCATGTGACCTTCAATCTAACTCTTTAACTGGAGATGGGTTATGCATGTATTCAGCTATTAAAGAAAAAGAATGTCAACATTGAAAGTGAAACAAGGATGAACCATTTGGTTGACTGATTCGATCCACAAGAATTCATTCTTATACAGGTAAAAACGATGATAAACATACCTTTTAACCTACAACTTGAAATCATACAGACCTAGAAAAATCCAATTGCATTTGTTCGTTATCTATTTATATTTATGCTTATTTCGGGTTATATGACTGTCCGCAGTCTTCGGAGGTAATTTCGATGGTTAATTAGATGACGTTTAGACTAAAATACCTTCGAAATGCTGATACATATTTCGAGTCCATGTATTGTTAATTATTTATTTTAGACTTTTGTAATTTGGATTTACATTTTAGTATGTTATAAATTAGATATGAGAATTTGAGTCAAATCGGTAAACATGAATTTGACAGCTAATGCCGTTTAAAACATATATCAACTATAGAAAGAAATAACGGCAGGCTACGTTGTTTTGACTTAGCTTTTTTAAAGCTATATGTTTTGGTGGAGTTAGGCGTATGATTTGTTTTTCTGTCTAATTGTTTTGGTATTCACTCTAAAACCTTTTTATGTATAACAATTCATCAAAAGTTAAAGTTTCTTTATCTATTTCGAATTCATTTATGCGGTAATATATGGGGTATCCTATTGAGTATAATACGTAACATATATTTTCCATAGGTTGATAGAAAATTGCAGCAAAATAATCATATTCTGTTTCCAAACTCTTGTCGAAGAATGCCGAATCGTCCAAATTCTACGTAGGCAACACGTGATCTTAATATTCAAATCCTGATGGTTTTATTGACCACGTGGTCTTTTTTAGTACGCATGCCCAAGTACAACGTCAGACAATATGGGAGAAATAATTTTGGTCTTTTTCGATAATATCAGCTTTCAAAGTTTCATTTAGGTTTTGGTTTAATATTTTGGCATCGAGCATCATTGACGAGTATAAGATTTTCAAATGTTTTGTCCTCGAGTATCACAGAAGAGAAATTAATTGTCGAATTGTCCATCAGGTGTAGTAAAATTGATATTGTTTAATTTGATTATATATCAATCAATTGTGCATTCTTAAAGAATTGATCAAATATTCAGAACATCTATGATGTTTTCACTCGACAATTGTCTTAGAAGGAGTAAAAATGGTGAGTAGTTTTTGCTGTTTTGGTTTTTTGAGGCTACGAAATCACATATCCATGATGATAAAATAATGAAGTTATCTTACAAAACCCACTATGATAAACGTTCTGTTGGTTTCATTATCATAAAGACAGTCTACCTGTTTGCAAAATTCATACACTAATCATTTTTTTTTAAAATGGAAGCGTTCAAACCTTTTAGATAGTGACATAGTCCATTAGTGGATCGCCATCGTTTTTCTGGGTTTCGTGTTGGTCAGTTTTAAGTTTTTGTAGTTGTCTTTTGTAGACCACTTTCTAATTTTTTGTCGTTTTTCATTATTTTTTGCAATGTCGTTGTCAGTTTGTCTGCGACTTATTAGTTTGAGTTTTTCTTTAGTATCTTAAGCTTTCGCCTCTCTTTTTTAGTCTATTTATTCCGCTAACATATAACAAATTTGATATCCACGACCGGTTTCTGCAGTTTTGCTAAAACATAAATTGTTTTACACTCTCTTTTATTCCATATGACTGTGTATTTTTCATATTTCAAAATATTTCAATTTATTATACAAAACGTTCAAATGTAAAACTTATTTACAAATTCAAACACTCGATCTTTTGTCCAAGTAAAATTACATTGAATCAACGAAAAGTTTAAAGAAATTGTCTATTTGGCAATACGTTTCGTAAAATATTAGGCGTATTAATTATTATCAACATGCTAAAAATGGTTAAAGACATATATAGATGATAATTTCAACAAGAACTCGGTGTATTTACTGACCAGTAATTGACCAACGACCTTAACGTATTCAGTAATATAATTTTTGGGACACATATATTTTTCAACAGATCACTTTTTTATTCCATCATTTAATATATCTCTGTCTGGTAACATTTATTGCAATATCATATTTCATTTGTAATATTACTACAAGATGGAATTGCAATATTTGCAGCTCTATTCAACAATTTTTTTTATATGAATCTTTTAGATATGTACAAGTGGGTAAATAGTTGATTTGCAACATTAAATAAAAATGAGAATGGAAATGGGGAATGTGTCAAAGAAACAACAATCCGACCATAGAGCAGACAACAGCCGAAGGCCACCAATGGGTCTTCAATGTAGCGAGAAACTCCGGCAGCCGAAGGCGTCCTTCAGCTGGCCCCTAAACAATTATGTATACTAGTTCAGTGATAATGGACGTCATACTCAACTTCAAATTATACACAGGAAACTAAAATTAAAAATGATACAAGACTAACAAAGGCCTGAGGCTCCTGACTTGGGACAGGCGCAAAAATGAGGCGGGGTTAAACATGTTTTTTGAGATCTCAATCCTCCCCCTATACCTCTAGCCAATGTAGAAAAAACAAACGCACAACAGTACGTACAGTAAAACTCAGATAAGAGAAGTCCGAGTCTGATGTCAGAATAGGAAACAAAAGAAAATAAACAAAATGACAATAATACATAAATAACAACAGACTACTAGCATTTACTGACATGCCAGCTCCAGACCTCAATTAAACTTATTAAAAGGTTATATCTTCATCATGAATATCAGGCACAATCCCGCCTGTTAGGGGTTTAGTATTATACCGTCATAAAATATATGAGAAGAACATAACCCGTGTCATGCCAACAACTGGTTTTAGAATAAATGTGTCTAATTCCGATGCAAAGACCCTATAAGTGAATTAATATTAAAGCCAAAATATGCAATCTTTAATGACCTGACAACAGTATCGTAACTATATCCCTTTTTAATAAGTCTGTTTAAAGGGTTTTGTTAGCTTTTGAGGTGAATACTGACATTTTTGTGCTTTGTAAAGAATATTCCATAAAAGATTGGATGTGAAATACCCGAACGTATAATGTATCTGCATGTTGAGTTATATTTACGAATGATGTCCTTATACCGATGATAAAATTTAGAAAATGTTTTGACTAGTTGATGATATCGAAAACCCTGGTGTAATAATTTTTCAGTAATACGTAAATTTCTCTCGCTAAAATCTAATACGTTGTTGCATACATGAGCGAATCGTACAAGTTGAGGTATATAAAAACCATAAGATGGTGACAAGGGAACGTCACCATCTAAAAATGGATAATTAACGATAGGAAATGAAAAATCATCTCTTTTATCATAAACTTTTGTATTAAGCTTCCCGTTAATGATATAGATATCAAGATCGAGGAAAGGACAGTGGTCATTGTTAGTATTAGCTTTATTTAAAGTAAATGCATGCATTTAATCCAAAACGTCATAAAATTACTTTCCTTGTATACAAATAGTTTACATTGGCACTAATATCGATTTTGTCATTAGCAAATTTAAACATAAGTAAATTTGTATTTTCTTTTCAAACAGGATGTATAGAGACACAGACACACATTCATTTTTATCTATTAAGAAGTCACTCCTAACTATACTACTACCTGTCGATACATTTAGTTTTGGCATTGCACAAGTCATGTCTTCTTTGACTGTTCATGACGTTAAAATGCTAAATCTCTTGGATGTGTTTTAGTTGATTTCAGTCTCTGTTGCATTATTTTTTATTATTAATTGTTTTGGCTTTTAACTAGCTGTCAGTTACTGCGAGTACTCTCAAATCGTTCTTTCTTGTTAATTTGACCTGTTGATACTAGTTGAAATGCTTTTTTGTTATTTAATGTTAACATGGATCTTGTCTATATGCCAGCTTTGATTATTTGGAATTACTACAAATTTTCACTTCTTCGTACTATGAACATCAAAATTATTTCATTTCTTCTTGAATAATGGTCTTGCACCTGTACAGGAAGTTTTATCTAGCACTAATTGTATAGTTTTATTGTTGATATTCACCCCATATGTACCAATTGTTAGATTAGTTTTATTGATATTAAAGAAATTTCTTGGTATTCCTAAACGGAAGATTTTATACACACAGAAGAAGAAGTATACTTAACAACAAAATTATTTTCATTTACCTGTGTATAATATGACGCAGGTTTTTTCAAAATTGATGATTTTTTTAAATATTGTTTGACATTTCACAGTGGTATCATACTTTAACTTTGTTTCAACCTGTTTATTAACTTTTGACCTTAGTTATTTATCCCTTATAATTTTTATTAACTATGTATTTGCATTCAGGTACCACAGATCATAGTTCTTCGTTCATTGTGTGTTAATATACGTTTTTTGATTGAGTAAAGCCTTCCAATTGATATTTATAGTGTGTCTTTCTATGTTGTGATGTTATACTATTGTTTCAGAAAAAGGGAGAAGGTTTGGTACCATTAAAACGTTTAATCCCGCTGCAAATGTTTGCACCTGTCTTAAGTCAGGAATCTGATGTACAGTAGTTGTCGTCTGTTTATGTAGTTCATACGTGTTTCTCGTTTTTATATAGATTAGACCGTTGGTTTTCCCGTTTGAATGGTTTTACACTAGTAATTTTTGGGGCCCTTTATAGCTTGCTGTTCGGTGTGAGCCAAGGCTCCGTGTTGAAGACCGTACCTTTACCTATAATGGTTTACTTTTATAAATTGTTACTTGGATGGAGAGTTGTCTCATTGGCACTCATACAGCATCTTCCTATATCTATTTTGACTTTGATGTACAGACAAACATTATCTAAATAAAGAACAAATTATGTATTACATTGTATTTTACCACCTACAGTCGTGTTACATTTATGTTAACATTGACATAACAGGAATAGAGATAAACCCTTTCAGACTGTAGGATTACACACAAGCTACATTTTATCCTTCTCTTCCCATTACATTGTCTCTTTCCATTACATTGTCAACTTCTGATCACTTCAAGCTAAGGAATTTCAGATCGATCATATTAGATAAAAAGCTTTCTCGTCCTAACAAAATGCTTTTGACGTAAATGTCTTCAAATGACAGTCAATACAAGCAGAGAAAAAGTTGTCATTTTTATCCTTCCGTCAGCAAGGCTATAATCTTTAGGATTTTTTTTTCAAAAACAAATACATTTGTTTCTGCTTACTTTTATTACATGCAGAATGATTCCAATGATATATCAATGATATATTATTTTCCTACTGTCATGTATCACATCTTTTTTTTCGGAAGTTCTTAATCTTTCCCAGACAAGCGACATGACATATTACTTAAAGAAGTAACAAAAAACAAGATAACGTTATTGTCAGAATTGACAAACGATATTAATTAGCTGCAGTTCAACACATTCTTCATCTCCATTCTAAAATTTTGATTGAAGAAGGCGTAGATGATAGGATTTGCAACGTTATAGCTGAAGTGCATATAAAACAAAATGATATTTCCACCAACGGCACGCATCGCCATTAACCAAGCAGGTAAAAATGCTATTATAAATACTACAGTTACTATGAATAAAATTACCGCTGTTTTTATGTTGGCAACTCTGTGTTTTTCTTTCAAAGATTTGGATCGTTTTTGGCGGGATTTCTGTTCTGGAATCTGTTGCATTTGAACCGTTTCAACGTCCCCGTTTTCTGCCATTGTAAGTTTAGTTGTAACTGCGCAAGTGTGTGTTGTAACAGTTTGATGCGATGTATTTTGACCGCCATTTAAAAGTCTTTTCTTGGATTTTTTTGAACGACGAACAGCTAAAGACCGAAACACAAGACTATAAAGAATAAAAACTAAAATGACCGACACCAAAAATAAAGAGGCACAGAATTTCTGAAAAACACTTCGAACCCTCCTACTTATGTATATTTCGTTCGGGATACATACACCTTTCATCTTAGAAGGATCTACAATTTCATTTGTTTCTTTGTTGAAAGTTTTGTTGTCCATGATCGATGACAAAGTATAATTGTCGGTATCAGAAGGAAATGTTGTCCATATCCACTCGTCTTTCAACGAATTAACATTTACATTAGATGATAAGAACGATGAATTAGATTTTGTTCGAGTTTCATTTTCTTTCTTATTGCCTTCATTAGGAACTCCGTGAACTAAAGATGTTATTATTCCTAAAACTGCTGCAAATAGTAAAAGAAAAACTATAGTCTTCTTAGCCATTTTTACATCAAGAGTGTGGTTCCAAGGTCGGCAAATTTTAAGGTAACGATCAAATGCAATAACTACCATGATGAAGGCTGAAAATGGCACATTTGACGTTATTAAGAACTGGTATATCTTACAGGCTGTGTCGTACTGGATTCGTTTTGAAACGTACTCTACTACGATAGTGTATGGAATGATAATAAGGCATGTGAAAAAATCTGTTCCCGCCAAAGTCAAGATAAAAATGGTCGTCGTTGTCTTTTCTCTCTTCCTTGCGTACACATAAATCACTAAAGCATTTCCAATGGAACCAGCAATACTAAACAAGGCGAGCATACTCATCACAACTATGATTGCAGGGTAGTCTTCGTGTAACTCTAGACCAGATTTACCTTCGCCAATCATATTTTCGAGAATCTTAAGCCTAGAAACAAACAAATACAAAATATGATACATAAGCCCATAAAGGATAAGGCAAATTTTCGCCCTTCCAAATCGAAGATAACATTTTTCTAATCGAATTACTTTGTTGATATCTGAATTAGTATTTTATTATTTATGTCATATATTTGCTTTAGGACTCTAAACTTCTTCACACTGCAAAAAATCTGCCAAAATAGCTTGATTTTGAGAATTTGTCATTAATATCTAGATATGAACCAATGGCTAATCTAAAAAGATATTAAAATGTCCTATATATGTCATAGTACAAACATTTTAATTTGAAGAATATATCATTTCGCAAAACACCATGTGAACATTCACTATTGCTAGTCAAATATGTCAATTTCAACAAGTGAATGACACCATAACTTGCATTTATGTTCTAAAGTGTTATATAATCCTACTCATTTATGAATAGCACTCAAATAGTTTGGAAACGAATAAGGGCTTTTTGCCATTTTTGGAATTTCATTGGCGAAAAAACGGTTCTTATCAAACCTTTAACAATAGATGGAACAATAACACCAATAACAAAATAGCTCTTAATAGAAAAGGATAAAAAAGATAAAAATAAAAATAACAAAATAAAAGCTGATCAGTGTTTTGTTTAAAACTAAAAGCATACTTTATACAGTACCCCTCCCCCAAACTAATCCTGTTTTGTCACGAAAAAAACTATCCAAACATTTTCTTTGTAACCAAAAATCACATTTGTTTTCATATCTTTAACTACATTGAACTAATGTATTTGGCTTTTATTTAAACTAACGCGCTTATATTTTAGAAACCCGATTGATTTGTGTAATATACAAAAATAGATTATTTGTCGACCATTTCGTAATTAAAGTTACAACTTTTTAATGGCAAGATTCTCATTTAGTTTAGATAACACTCGTGCAACAATCACAGTTGACTTAAATTGGCTTTTATAAAGAGAAAAAAACTATCAAGTTTCAATAAATTATGGTTTTGTATAATTATAGTGTCTGAATAAATAGAACCAATTGTATTGTATACATTGTCTTTGACACTTTTCTAAGAATATTACATATTTAGACTATTGTATGGAGATCGAATCTATACCAATCCTATAACATTGTTTATGTTGGTTCACAGAAGTGTACCATAAATCAAATAATAAAAGCCAAGCAGGTATACTTGTTACCAAATATAAACAATTTAGATGTATAAGTGCTATTTCTGTTTTAAATGCGAAGCAATATCTGTAATAGTTGGTAGATATATGGTGTCACTAACGCATGATCATAGGATTTATTAGAATACAAAGTCAATTATTAGGAAGAAATTGGTTTGAATGTTTTCTAAATAGAAATGAAAATAATAAAAAAAAAGGAACATTCAATTGATGTTTTGATTCAAGTACACTATTAAAGGAAACTGGAATATTACACTATTTGCAAAACATTAATAAACTGGAAAGAATGTAGTCAGGCCATTAATGGTCCCCTTTCATCCTTTTGTAATAAATTGTATGAACAGAAGATAGATAGATGTTCATCCTGATTCCAACAGAGGTCGTTCAAAACAAGGTCATTATAATTCATTAAGGTGCACTTCTAGGCGGTTGTCATTATGATTATAAGAGAAATATACTCACTCTTCCTTGGCCATTACAATTCAGGTGTAGTATATCCGATAGATTAATTTCTGAAAAAAAATAATAAACTTATATGCTAAAATAATGCTTTTTGAAAACGTTTTGAAAGATATAAGTTTACTTACCGCGATTAAAAGTCCGGTCTCATAAAGGACTCCAATCAAAGGTACACGAGAAAGCCATATCTTCTGTGTATCAACCAAAGAGAGGTACAACAACAACTATTAAGTAAAAACCCAAGATAGGATAAAAGTCTGCCAACATTTATGTTTGTTGTAAAAGTATGTAACTAAACATTAAACAACCAATTATATCAATACTAAAGGTTATATTTTGTAGCAAAGCACAATCCTTATTCATGTTATTCAAACGTTGACAAAAAAAAAACCAACACTTTGTAACTTTCATGCATCCGAAGCGCTTTTCTGGTTAAACCTTCACCAGGAACTCATAAAGCCGAATGTGTCAAAGCGTAGGATTTATAAGTACAGGAACTGTTGACGCAATAACTATTATGTATTAGACATACATGAAGCACAAACAAGCGCTGAAAATGATGTAACTCCTTTTATTGATTAATATAATCATCAATTTCCTTATTATCTGTTCATTTGGTACGTTTTTGGAAATGAAAGGAATCCAAATTAATATAAGATGCAAGCGACAATCCCATTTATTAAGAAATAATAACAACTTGTTTGGTAGATTTTTCTTTTTCGAAAGGACAATTATTTACTTGTCAAAAAGTATCACGGTATAGTGTTCTAATGATTTCGAAAGGTTCTTATTTAGGTGATCATTTGAATTACATTTTTTTCTTTTGCTGACAACTGACATGGTAACGAAATATGTAATTTGTGACAATTTCGTTATACCAAGAGTCCAGTTATGTTGATGATTGATGTATGATGTAAGTAATTAAGTAACGGAATATGTAATTTGTGACAATTTTGTTATACCAAGAGTCCAGTTATGTTGATGATTGATGTATGATGTAAGTAATTAAGTAGAGAAACCGATACAAACTTCCAGTTGTTGAATTCACATTATAGAAAATGAAGCATTCTGTCAATTATCGCTAGATATATTAAACATTCAACCGATTGTTATCATAGTCAAATGCATCATTGCCAATTTATCAAACATTTTTTGTTCAATTTTATGCCGAGTAATTCTGTCTTTTATTTAAAAAAATAAGTTGATGCAAAAAGGGAATTTAGGAGTAAACAAGTTTAAACATTAATTCATTTAACATGTAAAAAAATATAAATATTCATCAAAAAGTACATTAAAAGGTAGTCCTTGTATACTTTTATTTGGCCTTTTATCTATAAAAAGGTGTTTTTGGTATACCATGTTAACTGCGCTTTTTTAGGATATAAGGAGTATGAATGATCACCTGAACATTTAAAATAATCGATCGTTTTATGTAAAATATTCATCAGGATTTCGGCCATTATTTAATCTGTTAAATAAACTTAAATTGTTGCGGTGCCTTCAATCCAGAATGTAGTAAATTGCACGTTTTAATATTCATTATTTAGCTTTTGCATTTTTTTTCTATTCTTTATGTTTTTGCCATTATTCTTTATTCTAAAAACCTCATTCAGACCCTCTTACATACTGAAGGTAGAACAAAGTAACTCAAATGATGACTTGCAATTATATATTTGTGTTTTATTGTGTAAAATATAATTCTACCCTACGAATCATGGCGATCATGTATCAAACATACAATAAAGGGCCTCGTCTTATCACTCTTATTTGTCCTCTGACATTCCTAACATTCTATAAAACGACCATAGACATTTTGGTAAACGTTATAGCATAAAAAGTAAAATAACAAAAATACCGAACTCCAAGGAAAATTCAAAACTGAAAGTATGCATAGTACCTTTTGGTAGTATACGTCATGGTACATCACCTTGCCACACAAATAAAAAAAACAAACAAAATACAAATTAAAATAATAACATAGCTGTGTACACATGGTTGGTACAAGAATAGCTCCTTACTAAACAACAAACAAATTCCTAAAATAAATAATAACGTAGTGTACCCACAAAAAGTATATGTCATTCTACAGTACCTTGCCATATAACAAAACCCTCCAAAACAATCAAAGTAATAACATAAAGCACCTTACCACACACAAAACACTAAAACAAGTGATACAATTTCATTCAGATGGTATACGTCGATAAAACAGCAATTAACCACACCAAAAGATATCTGGAATAAATATACTATCTTCAACAACAGAGATATGTCTATAGAACATGTCAAGCTTTTAATCGCCATGAGTCAAGAAAAGTGTAAATAATTTACAGGGTCTATTACGAATATTAAACTAATATCAATCTTTCTAAATGACAAGAAAGACAAGAACATAACAAAAAAAAAAAAAAAAAAACACTGACGAGGTTCTTAAATTTGAAAAGGCGCATGATCATGTGACTATGTTAGAATTGTATTCCCTTTATATTATAACGTATCACTACAGTATATTACAATTAATAAACCTTAGTTTCCATTATTTGTTGTGTTATATTCATGATGGTTTAAATATGAATGAAGGAGATAAGCGGTTTATATCATTGAGGGAGCCATAATAACATCACAAAAACCGAAGTCATCTAGAGGTCATGCATTGTATCAGTAGTGGGTAGTTCGATGGATTAAAGTTGCATTGGTATTCTCTGCAACATGCTCCTCACTTAAACTGTCCTTTACATCGTTAAGTATTTTGGAAATTCGTAGAAAATTCTACATAATAGCTATCAAAATCTTTACAACACTGGTGAAAGAACTGGACAAATATTACATACTATGTTAAGAATGAACAGTAAATGAATATTTATTCAGACGAAATCTACTAGGTTCTCCAAATTGCTTATGTGGTCTAATCGATTCTTATTTTCTATTTAACTGTAAAAAGTATGACGCACTGCGTAATGAAATGATTTTTTCAATTAATTATCCAGTCATACTGAACACAAACCTTCTTCTATTCGTCTGACTAGCTCTAACTTTAGATCAGATGAAAGATATTTTCGTAAAAGTTATTTTACAAAATGGCGAGAGATTTATAAGTTGGCTATTTTTAGGTCCTTTTTGTTCATATAGCTCTTCAACTGTTTCGGTTCTTATGCATCGTTGGCTTTCAAATATTAGGATTGAGTGTTCCTGATGAAGGTAAATCCAGAAAACGCTTCGGACGCATACAATTTATAACGTGTTGTTTTCATCTTTTTATCATTTTCTATTTCGACAAAGTTGTATTTCAGCTTTACATTTGTATATGATTTAGTGTATTGATTTCTTTCTTTTTTCTTTTCTTTTGTTGCATTTTCATTATTTTTCTATTAAGTGTTTTATACTTTCTGTTATGTATTTATTCATTTATATATCTATGTTCGTTTAATATCATAGTTACTTAGCATTCTTATCATGAATTTGTTAACTGTTTTTTTTTTAAAAAGAAACGGATGAATTTACAATATGTACAGCTTGTTTTCTAATACCACTAGTAAACTTTATTGTCGTATGATGATGTATGTGTAGTGATGACGAATAAATATGTTTAAACATATAAATAAATTGGTTTCAGTTTACGTAACTATATCCATAAGTTACGGTACGAATGTTCACTGAAAGTTCTGAAAACATTTATTACTGGAAATATCAAACCAATCAAATTTCATCCGAGAAAAAATTCGTGAAATTAATTATAATAAAAGTTATTTTTCAAATAAAAGGCAACTTCAATACTTTATTTCAGAAAAAAACAAATTGCCATGCTTGGAATGATTATCTTACAGTTTTATCAATGAAAATAAATAATTATGCTTGATTTAAGAGTAATGTACTTGTTCAATATAAAACCAGTCAAAGACAAGAACGGGAAAACACGTTTTCTTACTTATAAACAAGATAAGTAAACGTGAATCATGAAAATCCGGGATTGCGAAAGTCTCATTTAACGATTCCAGGCCTATATTTTAGTACGACAGACGCGCGTATCGTCTAAATATGGAGTCAAATGCTCGTAAAGGTACATGTGTAAGCAGGTCATGTTATGATAATGGCACGACATTCCAACGACGAGGTAAAATCCGCTGACAAGTTGCATTTTGGATGTTATCAACGCAAAAAGACTATTCTGGTTTGATAATATAGTGCCGGTCTTTATTTCTTCACTATGCATAATGTATATTGTAATTAACACATCAATTTTTTATTTTTTACTTTGCTTGCATATTTGTCATAGAGATGGGAGCCTGGGCACATTGGAACACTGGGGGAAGGTCATGAAAGATTGCTCACAAATCCATTCATTTTTGAATTTGGATATTTATCAACAACTTTAAAAATTACATCGTCAATTGCAGACAGTCCAATATTTTGAAAGTTGTAAAGGGAACATGTTTGTCTTCCAAGGGATTAATTGGATGCCTGATACACCGGTAAGCGTCTGCTATAATAAATTTAGCGCCGCCATGCTAAGACTAAGATCAAAGACAACTAAAACATGTCTCCTAGTATCTGAAACACAAAATCATTTTACGGTATAAGTTGACGTGTCAATTTTAATTGGTCGTCCGCCTAACTCTGCAGTAAGAGATAAATTGAGAATTCACCCCGTATATCGTAATCATGTCCATGAAATTTAATTACCACATTAATTGAATAACTGGTAAATTTATGGGCGAAATGGTGAAACGTATAAGGAATTAAGAAAAATAATAATAAATATAAATCAATTGCTTTAAAAAAACAATTGTAAACGGTCTTTCCCCCTTCTGAAACATGATTGATTGATTTGTGTGTGTATGTGTGTGTGTGTGTGTGTGTGTGTGTTTGTTTGTTTGTTTGTTTGTTTGTTTGTTTCTTTCTTTAAAGGGTCCATATTAGTGTGTTGGTGAAGTTTCTATATTTAGTTAGTTGGAAAGTTTTTATTCTATTTCACGTCCCGCGCGCGTATTTGTCTCGTGCCAGATTGTTGCGTCACGTGACGAAGCTTTATAATAGCGAAAACTTTTTATTTCTT